GCATGGCAGGTGTGTGCTCTCTTGGCAAGCAGAGAGAATAGTGGGGGAACTCAGGTTGTCCTCATCAAAGAGTAGCTCAGGCCTTGGCACGAAAGCACAAGACATAACTGGGGTCATCTCAGCATCCGGCCAATTGCTGAGGCCCAAACCTCTGGATGACCTCTTCTCCGGGCTTCAGGCAGCGGGGCCTGAGCATCTCTCTCACCAGCAGCCAAGGACTGGCCTGCTGAGATTTACCCCAGAATGAATGAATGACTGCAGCCTGCCAGTCTGGTGCCTCCCAGTGAGAGCCAGAAAAGGGCTTGCTTGCTGGGCCTGTCGTGGCAGCCAGTGCTGCCACCTGTCTTCCTTGGCAGTACAGTCCTACCAGTAAAAGGACGGGTGTTACAAGGAAGAGAACTGGGGAGTGAGAACTCGGGGGGGGGGGGGGAAGTAAAGAGAGACAAGTATGGTGCTGTAGTGTGGGTTTGAAAAAGATCCTCCTAAATGCAAAGGCCAGCCTTTTTAGCACTTCTGTTTGATTTTAAAATAGAACAAGGTTGGATTCCTCACAGCAGCTCTTCCTGGCCTCTTCTCGGCTTGTTTTAGCACTGTGGTCTCTGCATTTCCAAATCCCTCTGCAGGTGCCAAGAGTTTCTTTGTCAGTGAAAGCTAACTGAGCTTTCATCGAGTACCCGCAGAGAGCAGAGAGGGTGGCAAAAACGGGCATGTGTTGGGGAACTGACTTTACTGAATGAATTGGGGTAGTGATGGCCCTGGTACTCAGGTGGGCAAACACAGGTGCTGGGAAGGGGAACATGGGACATTCCAGCTGGCCAAAAAAGTTGCTGTATCAGAAGGGTGGAAAGATTTATTTCCTGATAGAGACCAGTCACTCTGTCTGACCTGTGTTGCTTTCCCATGCGCTTAGTCATTTATCTCTGCATCCAATTCCTGCACCTGTGTTGTTTTTAGCTCATGTGCACACATGCTGAAGAATTTATATTTTAAGCTACCTAGAATTCCTTGCAAGAGGAGGAAATATGGCTTATAAATGTAATATAATAATTACATTAATAATTACAGTGACATTTATTTTTGTTTGCAACTTTCCCTAAACTATTTTTACTTTTTAGCATGTTACATACACATTTGCACCTTTATATACAGTGTTCCATAATGCATGTACTTTTTGAGCTGAGAACCGCACCACAGACTTGAGAGATGCGCATAGTCCTAAGGTGTTCCACTCAATGAAGTAGTTTGGGAGCTGCAAATTAGTTTAGTTCACATAAGCTATAGACCAAATGCAATTCCAGTATCTGTATTTTCGTGAGCTGTTTTGGCAGCACCTCCTCCAAACTGCAGCACTCTGACTGAGTGTCGTTTATTGGCTAAAAGAGGAAGGGTGTGTGTGGGTGGGTGGGTGGGAGGGTGGGCCTTCTGTCAGCTGGTACATGGCAGGGGACAAACTCCGGAGGGGTTTGATAAGGTTAGCAGTGACACTTTCAGGCAGCATCTGCAGGTGTAGCTCAAGTGCTGCCCTGCCTGGGACTGGAAAAATGCAGCTGATGCCAGTCTAGATCTGTTGGGCCTGAGATACAAAGTTGGGGCAGCACCCTGGTTCCCATGGATGGGGGGGGGGGGTGCATTCTGAAGTGGACTGCAGCATTTCCTCAAAGTGCTGCCACAGACTGCCAGTGGGTCTCCAGGAATTTAGGCAGGGTTCTTTCCTAGTTCTCCCTGGAGATGCTGCCAGGGGGTGAACCTAGAAGCTTCAGCCTGATTCATAGTCTTTCATGTAAAAGCTTCCTCTGAAGCTAAGATTCTAGTCCTCAGTATTCTGAATAATGGTCTGGCAGCAGCTTCCATGACTTCTGATGTAAATCTTCCCAGCTCTGCTTGCAGATGAAACCCTCTGCAGTCCAGTCCTGTGTCTTGCCACTGAGCTGCTGCCCTTCCTCAAACAGTTGCCAGTAAACCATTCAAGCATTTACTTATTTAATCAGTAAAATGTGTTGCAGTCTCTACTTGCCGTCATGATGTGCAACATCCCATGCCAAGGAGGTCTGGTAGAAGCAGCGAGGGCTTGTGAGGCAAAGCCACAGTTCCTGGCTCTGTCAGGGTTTCCTAGGGCTTAAGCCAATATCGGTGGGAAGTTCTCTTCCTCGGGACAAAGGGCACGATGGAGCAGGGGGTTTCCCCGCGGGCTGAAGGTGGCTCTGTTTTGGCATCACAGAGACGCGCCTTCTGTGTGGCACATGTGTTCCAGTCGTTGCCAGTCTTGGCAGAGAAACTCTGAAGGTGGCTTCAGGGAGAAAACGCAAGGAGTGATTGCGGGTCAAGGGAGGAGCAAGGCAGCGGCGTGGGAGCAGGCCCTGCCTCTGAATCCCCCCACCCCCAGGGCGAGGGGGTCAGGCTCCTCTGGGGACACAGAAGAGAGGAAGCCACGCGGGGTTCCTGGGTGGAGGTGGTCTTCTGAGCCTCCCTGCTCTGGAGCTGCCGCCAGAGGGGCCTCCTGAGCAGGGCGGAGATCTCCAGGGGCTCCCTTGGAGGGAGACGGAGACTGAGCAGCTACCACCGACGTCTCGGAGAAGACCTCCCCCAGCCTGGGGTCCTGCAGGGGATTTGGACTGCAAATCCCAGCATCCCCGGTCGTTGGCCTGGCCTTGATCCAGGTTGTGCTTCTCCTGTGGCGTGGGCCACCTTCGTGGCAGCCATGGCCCAGGGAGCTGCTGAACAGCCTGGGAGCCATGTAATGGTGTGTGGGAGCATGTGGGGGCGAAGGCAACATCCCGAGCTTCCCCGCTGTCCGTCAGGAGGCCTGAGAGGATGGCGGGGGGGAGACGGCTTGCCCAGCGTCTCCAGTGGCAGCCCCCGTAGGAAGCACTGGGCAGGGTTTGGAAAGGAGCCCTGCCCCTCCCGTGGCCACACCCTCTGGGGGTGCTCTCGCCCTTGCACCACAGGCAGAGGGCTGTGCGATCCTCCAGCTGCCGGAATCCCTGGCGAGCAGTTGCCAGGAGCCAGTGCCTGCAGTCCTGGGTGGGAAAGACCCACGGCCAGTCCCCCCCCCGCCCCGCCAACATCGCCTCGTCCTCCTCCTCCCCTGCCGGGACATCCCAAGAAGCCTGGGCTCCTGGAGAGCGGCTGGGCAATGCAGCCGGCGGGGCGGGGCGGGGGCAGCCACCACTCGGCCGCTTCCCTGACTGCACCTGCTCTGGACAGGCCAAATCAGCAGCCGCTGGCCGCCTTCCGTGGGCTCCCCACTGCCACCGCCTCCGCCACCTTTCCTGCGCGCCCTTACTTGCTGCTCAGCTCAGCTCCATGGCCAGGCGCTTGGGTGGATGCCTTGTCAGGGTCTCCTTACCACTGGCGGGAATGAACACTGGGACCCGCAGGGAAGATGGAATCGCCTTGAACCCCGGCACTTTTATTGGCGAGATCACCCAGCCCCCCCCCCAGCGGTTTACTTCGGACAGCATGCTACCGGGTAGCAGTCCTCACAGCCAAGTACAAGCTTTTAGAACATACGCAGAGGGTTTTGTACAGTCACATGACATAGCAGGTGATGACAAAATAAGGGGAACACGGTGAAAAAGAATGGGAGACATCTGCAGAGGAGCCTTGATTACAAGATATTACCATAATGTCACTGAGGCACAGGGTTTATTGTGGGTCTTGGCATGCAAATGAAGGTGATTGCAGTACTGCTAGAAAAACTTGTTTGGCTGCCCTATCAGTTTTGTCTGCCTTAGCTCGAGAATAGACTTGGGAGCCCCATTCTGCAAAGGCTTTTCCAGCCAAAGTTAGTAGCCATCTCTTAAAGGGACAGCTTTGAAAATTACACTAAACCGAAGCCTGCCTTGGAATTCTGGTACTTTTTGAGAGATGTTGCGGGTTTGATTTTATAACACAAAGGCATGTGTAAGCGACCTTTTTCTAGCAGGGTTCATCTGAATTTCCCCAACAGCCTGCAGGGGTGAGAAGGCAGGTTCCTTCACGGAGGGCTTGTGTGCAGAGAGAGGCTGGGCCTTGGGATAGCAGCGGCCCATGTGACCCTGGTGCTTATACTCGCAGCGCTTTGCTGCACTGTGTCAGAGCTGCTCTCCTGCACTGAAATCCTTTGGGACCGGCCTAGGAGATCTTTGGACTTTTCAGTCTAGAACTAAAGGGTCCAATGCACCTTCTTGCACCCCATATCCTTCCGGTCTTGGGTGACCCTGTCTGGAGCAACAAAAGGGATTCAGCTCTCAACTGACCATCAGAAAAAAGGGTATTCTGAAAAGGCCTGCCTTGCCAACATCAGCATCTAGCACAGGGGTCCTCAAACTTTTCCACCAGGGGGCCTGTGGAAAGGTGCCGGTGCTGGGTGCGGGCTGGAGGGGGCGGTGCGGTGCGTGTGGGTGTGTGCTGAGGTGGGCGCGGGGCAATGCGAGGCACGGGCAGGCGCAGGAGGCAGCGGCTTGCTTGCTTGGAGATCATTTTCTCTGAGTGAGCAAACTGCTGCCTGCCTGCGTGCAGGGCGAGGTGGGCAGCGGCGGGTACAAATGGGCATGGCGGGCCGGATCCAGCCCCTGGGCCATAGTTTGAGGGCCCATGGTCTCGCTTTCTCCGCCCTTGCTCCTTTCAGAGATGACCTCATGTCTTTCCAGAGCCTTTCAGCTTGTCTGGGGAAAACAAAGCTGGCTCCACTCTGTTTTCACACTTCCTGCAACTGTAGCTTGACTGTTGAAGAGGGATTCAGTTCTTCCTTTTTTTCCTTTCCCCCGCAAAGCTGCATTTAAAAATATACTGTACTTAAAACATATGCAGTAAAATACCTCTACCAAGTATGTCTGGTGCAAGACAAAGTGTGTGGAGAGGGGAATGCAAAAACCCTCAGAAGAAAAGCGCCACTTTCTGCTCCCAGGAAAGTGATATTAAAAAGGTCTGTGCCAGGGTGGCAGCTCAGATTGTGTGGCAGAAGCAAGCGTGTGTCCACAGTTGCAGCTGCATCGTCAGCCGTAGGCAAGCCCCTGCCCTGGGTAGTACATGCATCCCTAAATCGGTTTCCGTCTTACATGCATGGCTACAAGTCTGCCTTGCAAAGTGGCTTCAGTGCCAGGAGGATGGCTTTGGAGGGCGGATTGAAGGCAGCTCGCAGAGGGGAAACACCCGCCATTTGGGCACCCAGCAACCACCAAACCCGTGCTAAAAATGCCTTCCTTGCTCTCCTTGCAAGGCTAGAGTTCATATTTAAGGAGTGAATTGCTTCCCTTGGTCAAGGCACTTCTGTGCCACAAGGCTGCACATCTCCTAACTCTGTCCAGGGGTGCAGAATCTGGTTGCTGCTTTCCCCTGGAGAGGCAGACATCCAGGTGGATCCATATCAACCAGGTGGATTCATTCAGGTTTTCCGTCAGGTGTATGAGCTGTACTGGCCCATTCCAGACCAAGTCATCCCGAAACAGCTACAGCTCAGGCAATTCATTGTTGCTGGGAAATTCGTTCCTGAGGATTGCAGTTCAGCCCATGCTGAGGTGTTAGGCATCCCCGTGAGCAAAACTGTTGGGGTGCTGTGCCCCTGCAGGCCCTGGGGCTGTCGCACCACTGACCCATTGCAGAATCAGGCCCTCCTTCCAGCCAATGTCAGAGACGGCTAGGGGAAAAACACTGGAAAGGGATGGTGTAAACTGTTGTAAGCAGGCAATGAGATCCTTGTTGACATGGAGTATCCCACACAAGTTCACCAGTCATAAAAACACAACCACGTAAGGAGCGGACAAGAGGGGCCTGCCTTGATCTGGAACATGGTTTGCTAAATTTTTGGCACTGAGTTGCTTTCCTCATTTGACATGTGCTGGAAATTTGGGAACTGGCACAATCTCTGCCCCCTCCCCCAGAGCTTTCATTACTCTTCATTTGCATCAGAATTGGAAAGAGGGAAAATTTAAAGCAGGTTTCCCCAATCTGGTGCCCTGCAGGAGTGCTGGATTGTGATTTCCAATTAGATGCTGTACTATTTTATTTTTATTTTTTATTTTTGTCACATGATTGTAAAACAATCCCAAGGCGCTTGTAGTGAACGGTATGTAAAAGCTTTTACTAAACAAAATAAAAATAAATAAATTTCTGGCATGCCCCAGTCAGCTGCTTGTGAGAGTTGCAGCCCAGTGCGCTTTGAGAGCACCCGCTTTAAGAGAACTAATGAGCAAAGGCCAGGAGAGCCGCCCTCCCTTCAGCTGCTCAGAGTCAGACTCGTCTGCAAAGCTGCACGGAAGATCCAGAACGTAGGAGCCAGGACCGCCTTCCCCCGCCCCCCCTTGCGCTTCTGTGGCCAGCTTGTGAAGAACAAGGGAGAAGTCCCCTTGCTCCCAGCAAAGGCCCGTGCGGTTGCCGTCGGCAGCTTGGAACCGGGGCAGCTGACTCACCCTGTCCCGAGCAAGCAGGCAAGGCTGCCCCTTCCGTCCCGACTCGTCACAGGCTCACCCAGAGCTGAATAAATGTGACCATAAAAGGTCTCTGTGCCACAAGCCTCTACCTTGGTTGGAACAAAAAGGGAAAGCCAAAATATGCACCCATCCTGACTCAGAGCAAGTGTCCAGACAGAAATGCTCTTGGCTTTCCTCCTTGACTAAAAGCAAGAAGCCAGCTGGTGAGGAGAGCAGCATTATTCTGCTTCCGCAACAGTCTAGAACCGCGGTATTCAAACTGCATTCCCTGGACCCCCAGGGTTCTGCGAGAATCATCCAGGGATTCAACATGTGAGTTACTCTTATTACAATGAAATTGTAAGAGCTTCCTGTGGCAAAACACAAGCACATCCAAGTAATTAAACTATATTTTTTCATATTATTTGTTAGTGATGGTTACTAAAATTTAGTATGTATTTAATAAATTTAGTATTATTTAGTTTTTAAGTAATGAATGGGCTTATTAATACATGTTTAGTTTGTTTATATTGTATGAAATGTATTACTGGAATATTAACATTTCATTCAGATAAAACTCATTAAAAGAAATGGGTTTATTAATGGGTTCCTTGCTGATTTTTCACATGGAAAATGATTCTTTGAATAGTTCCAATTTGAAAACCGCTAATCTAGGAGGACATGAATGTGTTGTCCCAAGTCCTCCAGTTGCTAGCCAAATCATCATCAGAGTTGCGTTTGGACTGAACGACCACATGTTGGGGATTACATGAGTGGAGCCAGGGGTCAGACTAGATGGTCCAGGAGGCCCATTCTGAATCCCTTTGTTTGTGTGTGCTTAGCTGAAGATGGCTGGAGATTGAGGAAGAAGCTCAGCCATGCACAAAGGATCTTCGCAGCTTTGAGGAGCGTCA